TTCAGTGCCTGAAAGCGCAAGATCTGGTCCAATGCCACAGGATCCTTCAGGCTGCTTTAAGCAGACACTACTTTGGGATCATTAAAAGCAAGGCAAAATGGCACTGTGTGACACACCCTCACCCAACCAACCATTTTTGCCCGGCAAAAATAGATGAGCAAAATACTTTGGCACAAATTAACCTTTTTTCTCCTTTCCCCCATCTAGCAACATGTTAAGGCTGTCCAATTACATACACCTGTATTTAGCATACTATACATTTTTCACATAAAGGCAGTTGTTTCTTCATAGCCCAACAATTAAAGAAACTATTGAATTAAGAAGCTTCCAGATCAAACTCCTGCTCCTCCAGAAAGACCTACAACAGGCCCACACAGCCCAGCTCTATCACTCTTCCTTTAAAGACTCCTAACCAACCTGCATATGCTAGAACACTAATTATCCTGAACTCACTCTGCAGTCACTGGAGAGAAAGAGGCATCTTCATATGGTAATAAATATCTCAGGTGAGGTGAATCACCCAAGTGCATAAAGCCTCACAGGATGACTCTGGGCTCAGCTGTGTGAGCTTAGGTGCCATAGGTACTAAGATCAGTTGCTGCCTTTGCTGTGTCATCTAAGTATGAGAATATTGAGTAGTTTGTATTATATCACTCTTCATACCCAATGGTTAGGAATCATTGCAATAGCTATAGTTGATAGTCCAAACAGAAGTTTTTCTGTACCTCACTCTACCACATGCACAATGGGGAAATTTCACCACTCCATACCTGAGAGCAATGTTAAAAGGATGACTCATTCATTAAAGGTTGTTAGGCACTCAGGAATTTGGTGATGGACATTGGGAAGGAGCGGGTAGGGTTATCTTAAGTTAACATGCACAATTAACATATAATTTAAGAAAAATATATTCATTTTCCCCCTTACCCAAAATATGAAAATGAAACTGAACACTTTTATTATGAGTGCTTGTAGATAAAATTTCCCAGGAGTCCTTTAGGTTCAACCAAATATGCATCCGATCTTTTCTTCATATGAATGTAAACCAGTGTTATCAGAAATATCAGCAGTAATGAAACTCCAAGTAAAACTCCAAGGACAATCACTGCCACTTTCCAAGTGGAACTTTTTTCAGTTGATGACTGAACAGAAGAAGCTGGAAATTCAAACCACAATTTAGAAATGTCAGCTAGAGACTAGTAGGTGTAAGAAAGCCTGGAGCCTTTCAGGACAGCTGCATTTTACTCTTTGGCAGCATTGGAAATTTTGAATGATATTAAAAATATTTTTGTATGTAGTAAAGATTTGATAAAACTTGAAAATTTTATGGACCCCTCTCTATGAACATCCCTGTGGTCTACTGGTGATATCCATAATCATCAGTTCTGAGGATTTGCTTGATGAAAAATATCCAGAAGGTTCTGTGATGAGAGAGCTCCAGTCTGTACCTCAACAAAGAGTTGCTCCAAAGTGTGAAAAAGGGCCGTGAAATGGAGCTGTACATAATTTAACCCTCACACTCCTCCTTATACTTGCACAGGGAACTCTGTGAAATTAATCAGGACCTGATCTGCCAGATGTACTCACACTTCCCATTACTTGCTCCACAAGACAGTCCACTGAAACCAGTCTCTAAACTGGTAAGCCAAAACCAGAAAGCTTTCTGATTTCCAGATAAAGGCAATGAAAGGTCTGTAGCACATGTAAGCACACCTCATCTCTGTGGTAGAAATGCATGTAGTAATGGTGGAAAGGCACATAGACAAAATAATACTGCTAGCCAGTGTTTTATGAAGAAAGGGTATTAACTGGAGCAGAAGGAGCATCTGTGTTGCATGAAAAGCCGCCAGCTCGTAGGAGCTCAAGGCAATAAGCATATTACCACTAAAATGAGCATGACTGATACTGTATTTTGGATTAATATCCTGCCCAATTTCTACTTTACCTATAAGCCTCTCTGCATCTCTGCAGTACTTTGTGTTGCTAAACCCACACCACCTCTGCCAAGGAAGCAGGGGCCAAAGACGATTGTCCAGCAGAAGAGCTGAACCCTTCCATCACATCTCTATCTAGAGGGAAGTATCACAGATGCCACTACAGAATAAGTCTCCTCATCCCCTTCTGCACTGAAAGCCAATCATTTAAGATCATCATGGAGGGTAAAAAGGTGATACACGCTACAACAAGAAGCTCACCTAGCCCTCCTGTTATGTGAAGAGAGCCCACCAACCCTTTAAGTCTGGAACTGGGTGTATGTTGTAGCTCTTTAAAACAGATCCGTAATCTACATGACATCTAGACTATCTATTCTGTGACTGTTTAAATAGGTCATCTGAAATACTTGAATCTTTTAAAAGAAAGAAACTAATTTATCATCTTTTGTGAAGAGCAGGTGATATGACCCTTTAATCCCCACAGCATCACAGAAAAGCTGTTTCAACAACACTTACATGGTATAGTTACTTCAGTTTGGTCACCAGACTTGCTCTTCAGTATTTGACTTAAGTGTGTCTGCGTAACATTCACACCAATGGAGTCTTGGGTTTGCAATAGAGAAATAAAATCAGCAATCACACTCCCAGGTCTGAATCCAAGCATAATGATATTGAACTGGTCATCTTTCAGTCTAATGCGCATTTCTCTAACAACCTGTGTAAATTGAAACCAATATTTGTTCCCTATGTCAGTCAACTGAGGCAGCACAGGATGCATGCATCAGCATACAGCAGGATATTTATTTTTTCCATTTTTATAATTCTCTAAAAAAATTACTGAAGGAGGATTCTGGAACAATGCATAGTTTGTGATTGAAAATATGAAATCTAAGTTTGACTTTCAAAGCAGTAAACTGTTTACCTAGTTATCAATGAATAATGCACTGAAACTAGCAATCGTCCTCCACAGGCTACAAACCCATGTGGGACCCTGATTGTACAATATTTGAAATTATTGGGTGTTAGGTGTACAAAGTGCACCTAACATTTCTAAAGATACCTTCAGTGTCCCCTAGCTTTTGCAACATGTGCAGCTAAACTTCAGGCATAGTCATGCACACACTAACAGCAAAAAGCTTGATGTTAGAGGTTTAGGACAGGTAAAATGCTTTGTCACCAGATCATCAAAATCATGACATTACACAATAACTATACAGATAAGGATGTGATTTGTCTCTCAGTCATTCTATCACAAACTAAGTAGAATCCCATTACACCAATTGAAATGATTTAGGTTTACACTGATGTCTCCAAAAGTACAGTTTTGCCCAGTGCTCATGTGGATATAGAGCAAGAACAAGCAGTCCTCCCTTCTAACTATGTAAGACTGGTTGAAACATTTCTGTCAGGACTAATCTTTACAGAAAATTAGGTATTTGACTCAACCCACTAAGAAAAAGGTATATTCTTGCTGCGGATAAGTGTGATATTTTACCTGAAAAGTCTGAAAGATTACTGTGTTCATTATCATGGATGATAATGAACCTTGTTTCTGAGTCACTGCTGAGTTGTCTACCTTCATCTTTCTCTGTGGGATAAACCCTCACCCCAAACTGCATGTCACATTAAGTTCGCATTAAAAGCCAACACAGAAATTGACTACATTTTAGAATCATAGAATCATAGAATGGTTTGGGTTGGAAAGGACCTTAAAGATCATCTAGTTCCAACCCCTCTACCATGGCCAGCGACACCTCACACTAGACCATGTTGCCCAAGGCTCTGGCCTTGAACGCTGTCAGGGATGGAGCATTCACCATAATTTTCAGTGATGTTAGTACAGCCACTATTTGGTTTAGCCATTTTATAAAGAAAAGTGTAATAAAGGTCATGCTGACATAGTGCACAAGACCTGAGTGAATCTTATTAAAACACAATAACAGGATTCTTGTCGCATTTAGTGAGGTTGGAGGAAGCCTCTTAAATTTACTAAAATAAATTTTGACCACGATGAAATGGAGATGCTAGCAGTCAAAAGACAAGGTTACCTCTGACTTTGTGTTATGAGAACAAATTAAGTACTGCTTATGAAATCTGTGGAGATTCTTAGCTAAGAGGTATGATATACTAAAAAAACAATTTTCTATGCCAGTTATTGAAAAGCAGTCTACCCCAATCTTACAGTAGTTTTACCTTTCCAACAGGCTTATTATACATCAGGATTCCTGAGAGATGTGTAAATTATTAATCCTTTTCTTTAGCATCCTGATATAGACAGCTAAGTGGCAGACAGCTGCTTCTGCATGTCAGCTTTACTAGGCTCACCCAGGCTCTGTAAGCTTCCACTTCCCTTCCTTCGTTCCACCCTGATATGGGCCCCTCAAAACTTTCTCCAGTCTTGCAACTGCTACCATGAAGCAAAATGACATTGATCTGGACAAACATTGCGCACTTGTAAAGGTCTCATATTTCCAAGTATGTGTTGAAATTTTGTTTTTGAGTACTCTTCTTTTTCCTTCTCGAAGGCGTGTTTTTAGTGAGATGGAAGAAAATAAACAAATGGGGTGTTCCTTGTGCTTGCAAAAAGAGAATTTTAAAGTGCCTTTCACTAAATATCGGACATTTGAGAAAGGGAGAACATAAACCTTATTGGACATCAGCCTTTCTGTCCTTCAGTCAAGACAGTTGTTGTGCTTCCTATACTCTTTTATCAAGGAGGGATTATTTTTTTCTCCTGAGGGATTATATTTTTCTCTTGTCACAATACTGATTTAACAATGAATCTAGGAGACTATATTGTTAATCATAAAACTTTTCTTAGTTCATTCATGATGGCGAAGACGATTGCAACAACTTACTTCTGTTTTGATACTTTCAGACATTGTTTTGTAATCTTTACTTTCAGAGTCATAAAGTGTATGATTAAATGTCTGGCTTTTAACAAAACACTGCAGGGAAATACTTGATAATCAGAAAAAAAAAAGAAATAATTAGGTGCATCTCAGGATGTCACTCCACAATTGCTTTTTGGACTTTATTCTCTCATGTATTCCTAATACCATTTGATAAAATCAGAAACTAATCAAATAATAAGAAAGTGTATCATATATGTCTAATGTACTAGATTCTGAACCTCCAGAGTTGAATCTCTTTTTCAACTGTCAGCCATCACAATTCTCACAATTTGTTAGTCATTCCTGTATTATTCAGGATGCATCTCCCTAAGTCAACAGCCACTCTCCCATTGATTTCAGCAGAAACAAGATTGGTTTATGACATTTTCCAAGGCACTGAGCATGTTTAAATCCTCTTGAGGAGGTGGATAAGCCCTAAGCCAAAACAAGTAAGCTTTACATAGAATAGTCCAGACTAAAAATAGAACTGGAATCTGATGCTGAAGTTTGATGAAGGCAGCTTCCTTACCAAAAAAAGTGTGAACTTCAAGCGCTATGTGAATTGACACAATAAAGCTGATGGCAAAATACTCATGAAAGGCATTATATATTGTGAAATAACATCCCATAGTTATGAATAAACAAATTTTAAAATTCTGTAAAACTTACATGAGCATACCATATCTTTTAAGTCAGGACAGGCAGTATTCTATGGTAAGCAAAGATCAGCTCTGTTGAAACAGGAAACAGGATCTGTAAAATAAATTTAAAAGTCAAGATAATTGCCTCTGTACATGTGTGGTTGTTGCTAGTAAAAAAATGATTAAATAGGAGAAAGCATTTAATCATGGCCAAGGAATCAGTTAAGCAGCAGTTCTTTTTGCCCTGGAGAACTTAGAATTGCAGATTATAAAAATGGAGCATATCAAAAGAAAGGCAGGTGGTGGGTGGATAGGTGGCATTTGAGAACTTTAGTGACATAATGTTGAGAACTCTAATTTCTTATAGGAGTTAAAGATACAGGTGCTACTGTTACGTGCTTGTGCAACTCAGGTAAACTAGATAGACTTTTCAGAAATAAAAGTCACCTGCAGTTTCATTTGAAAACAATATGCATCATGGAGTCTCAAAACCTCAGTACTCTTGTCTGGACTGGCTAATTTGAATTATTTATAATGGTTCAAAACAGTAGTAAAGAGTGGTACTGCAGTTTTTACATGGTTAGCTCACTGGGCGTAGCACTAGTTCTCCTCACAGAGTTGAACATAATTTTAACTCCACATAAATTCCAGGTGACTTGGTCTTTATTGCTCTTTTTAATTGGCTCTCAAATGCTTTTCTGGTAGGGCAGATGCCTCCAGATTGCAAAAGAAAACAAAAGTTTGTGGGTTTGTTTTTTTTAAGTAATGAGACTAATAAATGAAAGCCACTGGACTGAGATATTGAAAGATTTGAATGGAAATAATAATTCCCTGGTTCTGTGGTTCTAAGGCCTAAGACAGAGGGTAAGTCACTAAGTGGAACCCCACACTTAACTGCTGGAATAATTGTCCTAGAAAGGTTTTGAGAATGATCAGACAATTCACTAGAGAACGGAAAAAAGGGTTGCGAAAAAAGACAGTTATATTTTAGGTCAAGAAATGCTGAAAGAAAGCAACAATTGCTAAAAGGCAAGTTAGAACTTTCCAAAGATATTAAAAGAAATCATGAACATTTTCTCAACCGCTGACCAAGTATGATAAAGTTCAATACAGTTCTACCAAAAGAGGATCATGCCAAAATAACCTAGTAGCTTCCTTTGACAAGCTGACTTTCAGATCTCTTCCAATAGGAAGAGTTAGGAAAACAATACTATACAGTGCCAAGTGGTGAATTTTTAGTGGAAAAAGGTTTGTCTAAAGAAATTGGCTAATGGGGAGATGACAGCTTTAAAAGAATAAAGCTTGCTTTAGTGGGATATTACTTGTGGTGTTCCTTGAGAATCAGTCTTGTTGTAGAACTTGATCAACATTTCCATTATAGACCTTGCCAGCAATTGCATGTGTTTGCTCATAAAATTTGTTGATGACACAAAGTTAGAAGGTGCCATTAACACAGGGGAGAATTGAGATCTCTTCCAGAAAGAATTGGTTGAAGCTAAGGTTGGAGATGCAGCACTGGGATGACATTTGCTGAAAGTCGTGCATTTGAGGATTAATAATAAAAATGCCTCCTCTAACCTGGCAGCACAAGCATTGAAGAGAAAATAACAGTTAAACAGCCTGTTTTAATGTCTATGTCCTAGGATGAAATTAAAAGATGACAATGACAATTAAGGACTGTCTGCATTCACAAAAGCATGTACAACCTAAACTTCACCAGAATTTCTACCACAAATGCTAGCAGAATATTTACTGTTAAATTCACAGTCAAAATATCCTGACTTCCATACAGAATTATCTGGTTTAGAAATAGAGCATGGTCATAAATTTTACAGAATAAGTACTTGCTCTTGTAAACTTCTGTTTAATGCAAGTAGTCCTATCCAAGTGAGGGGATGAGTCAGATAAGTGAAGATGACTTACAGGAATAATAGTCTATGAAATTAAATCCAAATCATATTGCAAAAAAGATATTTTTAGTGTATAGTCATTAGAAAGAAATCACAGAATGATTGTGGAAATACCTGTTCGAACACTCACTGAAGTCCTGCTATCCCCAGCACAAGACTGTGCTTCCACAGATACCGTGTATACATGACCAGGAAGTAAATGTTCAAACACAGTTTTTGTCTCTTTTGTAGTTGTTTTATCTCCTGATTTCCATCCATGAGGGAGATGGTGTGGAGGCTGCCTCTCCTGCCACTAGTCCAGCTGAATTGTATTGCACCCCCAGTCACATTCTGAACTTCGATGGACACTGGCACTGCAAAGTGAAAATTTCCATAAAGCTGAGGGTGGTTCATTTAGCTTCTGCAATTCTACACTTTTAATATTGAAGCAAAAAATTGCAAATTAAACTAATACCGTTTTTTGTAAGTTTTTGTAGGGCTTGTTTCGTCCTTTCCCCTCATTCTCCCACAAAAGCAAAAAATAAACTGTTTGCTCTATAGATGTAAATCATACATTAATGTACATTATTTGATTGTATATTTTTGGTGGTTCTCTCAGGTTTCCAATTCTGAAATTATATCCAGAGATTTTATTTCACAGCTGATTTGACTGATAAACCTGATTTTAATAACTCACCTTAAATATTTTTTCTCTAGTATTGAATATCAAATATTTACTTACTACAAGGTCCTGATACAAATGTGGTGGTGAAAATTGGATTAGCTGTGGATCTTGTAAATCTAGCCATAGCACTTTTTGGAGGGACTGTGGTCATCTGTACTATAAAATAGTAGTTTGGAAACAATGAGTAGAATTTCTTTTAAAGTTTCACCAAGTTTATACTATTTATTTTCACAAACCACCCATGTGCATGACCTTGCACTTCACCTTGTTGAACTTCATGAAGTTTGTACTCAAGCATGTCAAGGTCCCTTGGGATGGCATCCATTCCCTCCAGCATGTTGACTGCACCACGCACCTTAGTATAATGAGTGAACTTGCTGAAGGTACATTCTACCCCACTGTCCATGTCACCAACAAAGATGCTGAACAGCACCAGTTCCAATAACAACCCCTGGGGAACACCACTCATCACTGGTCTCCACTTAGACACTGAGCTGTTGTGAAATACCAACTTTTACCTTATGCATATCCGTATCTCCCACTTAATTCTATGACAGAGCTATGACTCACAATCAGGGTACAATTAACTCCTTAGATCTGCATTCAAACTAGAATACAATTATGCTATAAAAGAGAAAACAGCACCAGTTTTGGTTTGGGCTTGGGGTTTTCTGTGGTGCAGAACAGAAAAAAGCTTCATTCTATTCTTTTCCATTTTGTTTTACCTTTCCAGTAAAAAAAAAAAAAAAAAAAGACACATCAGTGCAGACACTTAGCAACTTGGAAAAAAGTAAAGATATACTAAAAGAAAATTACTATTGCTGGTAACGGCAGGAGTGGAGGAAGGAGCAGAGGACACGAGTGCCGTGGATAGGTGGGATATGGTGGCCAAGCTTTCCTTGGTGGTGCCGCTGGTGCTGCTTTGCTGCAGGGTAGTAGTGGCGGCTGTGAAGCCATCAGGAGAGGAGAAGGAGGAATGGCTTGTTGCCGCTGAGCTGGGAGCTGGACCGTGTGTCAGAGCATTTGTTGACACAGTGCCTGACCCAGCGCCTGTAGCAGCAGGAGTGGAGGAGGAAGCAGAGGATGCAAGTGCCATGGACGGGTGGGATGTGGCTGCCAACTCCTCTGTTGCCACTGGTGCTGCTTTTCTGTGGGGTGGTAGTGGCAGCTGTGAAGCCCACAGGAGAGGATGAGAAGGAGTGGCTCGTTGCTGCTGAGGTGGGCATGAGGGACAAGGGAGGCAGCAGTGCCACTCGCTGTGCCCATGCTGATGCCAGTGGTGCCGGGCCTGCGTGTTGGGAAGGTGGCGCTCGTCGCCTTGCTCCTGGCAGACACCTTGAGTGAGCTCCCTTGCCAGGCTGGTGGCATGGGTGCAGCCTCTGTCTTGGTATTTGCCTCAGCCTGTGTGCTTGCTTCCTCCAGTGCTGTTATATTCTTTGTACCTGGTACAGTTTTATAAATGTGAGTTGTGGACATTTGCAATATAACTGTACTTTAACACTCTACCAAGTATTACTTTTTTCCTGGGTGAAGATTTCATTTTTTTTCTTATCTATGATCTTTTTTTTTTCCTTTCCTTTCCTCATTTTCATGTACATTCCTTGTTCAACATTCTTTAACCATCTTGAAATTCCTATGCTTTTTCATTTTTCATTTGCATAGAGTATTTTTTTACCTTACTGATTTTATGGTAAGAATGTTTGTTTGTCAGTTAACAGTTTTAAATTACCGTATTTTATGCTCTCCTACTGCTTTCTACCTAGTCTTCAATTTATGTTCTTTTTTTTTTTGTCTAAATATAAGTTCTTGTACAATTAGGTACATATTTCAGTTGTCATCTTGCAGTGCTATGGTAATGGTTGGACTCTACTCTAATAAAAGTCCTTTCCAACCTAAATGATTATACAATTCTATCATCTCTATAAACTGAACTATCTTTAGAATAAACAAGGAAAATTAATAATGAATGGAATGCATTTTTTCAACATCATTTTCTCCTCAGCTTTTTGTATATATTTTTATTATTTCTTTATTTTCAAGGCTATTTTGTCTTTCTTATGTACTGGTTGTCAGGCAGAAAATAAAGCTTTTTACAGCTGAACCCAGGACACTTTGCATACCTTTATGTTGATGTCCTAAATCATAATAATCATGGGAGAAAATTCATTGCTTTCCTGTCTTTACCTGTATATTTATTAGTAAATCTTAACTACATAAGTTTGCAAGTATGAAGATGACAACATTTCTAACACTCACAAAATTTCTTCAGAGGGAAAATCAAATCCTTTTTTTTTTGTTGTGATTAAATACTCAGGCTAATTTGGGCTTATTTCTCTTATTTGGTCAAGTAATATAACCTTGATTTTGAGGAGTGGTTTTGTCCCTACTAAAACCAAACACAGCCTTCGGTCTCATACTAATATTACTCTTTAGAAACAGTTATTATCCTATGTCTTTGCTTTTGGATGTATAAAACTTTAATGATTCTTGAAGAAGGTATACTGGAGTACCTCTATCAAACTCTTAAGAATCACATTAATTAATTTCTTTTGATTTTACTTACCTGTAAAACCAAAGTTGTATTTTCATATAATTTAGTGTATACATAAAAGCCTGTAATGTAACATTAGGTATTTTGCAAAATTTTTCCTACAGAGTGATATATTTTCGTATTTTCTGCATCCCAATACAGTTTGAGTTGTAAGACCCTGTGCTTATATCCTTTGGATTATTAACAGCAAGTATTCATCACACAAGAAACTTATAGTCATCTGCATTGAACAGCATGAAACATGACAGGAAGAATGAAATAATGCAATCTTCTGGATTTCTAGGTGTTATTTCAAAGACTCTTTGTAGTACAATGAGAACACAGAATAATTAATAAAAAAATTAATAAACAATTAATATATGCTTCCTTATGAGTCTTTTCCTAAAGAGTCTCTCAGGGGAGAAAAATAGGCAAAATGGATCGTTTACTGGCCTCATATCTAATCTTAAGGCTAAAAAAAGGCATAAAATTGGGTCAGACACTGCATGTTTAATCTTTTAGATGACAGTTTTCCAAATACTTTGCTTTCATTCTTTTATCTACTTACAGCTCTATATGCATACTAAGATACCTGCTGAAATTCTACACGTTCAAGAGAAATTTTAAAGAACCCAACTGTAAATATTCCATGCTACTGCATTTTACATTGATTTTTAGCTCTCTAGACCCCCACCCCCAGATTATCCAGTGTATCTCAAGGTCATCCTTTAAATGTATGGCAATGGTAAATAATCAAATACATTTTAACTTACAGAGAAAAACAGAGAAAATGAAATGCCAAAAGTAGTTCCAAGTTCCCGTGTTGCGTTTTCACCTCCTTGTGGTACTCTTTCCATTTGTGAAACTGACATTTGGAGTTGAAGACTTCAGTAATTTAAACAGGGGTGAGGCTGCATTGTTACATCTCAGCCTCAGCTAATCCTCACACAAGTGGGAACAGTGCCAATGTAATGAAATTCTTGCACCTGACCTCTACTGTAATAAATTTTGAAGTTTTCTGTTGATACATGCTTGCTTTTCTGTAATAGAACAAAGTGCGAATGTGATCCAAAGGCTAGTGAGTCAAAAGGAACGACAAAATTCAGTGGGCAGTGCATCATACATGAACATCTTTTTGTTCAGGATATTCAATAAACAGAATATTTTATCAACCTTGGACCTGGGCAACTCATGACTAAGACACAGAACTGAGGAGCTTTGAGTCTGAAAGTCTTGCCTTTACGTTTTCCTGTATTTTTAACTATTTAAGGGTAAATGTTGAATTATTCAGTTATAACTTGTATTTTTATTGTATCAGAATGGCAAATTAGTAGAAGTGCACCAAGAAGACATCAGCCTTTGGTTCTCCAATACTATAAGGAGGCTGGAGTGGTTGTAAACCTCTACTACTTCACCTTTTTGAACTATGTGGAAAATACTGGATAACCAAGCCTTTCACTGTTAGCTGAGTTTACCCACATTTTCTTTAGCAAGTAAGCTCTTCCTAACTATAGGCATTTGATGTGGACAGTCACTGCTGGTCTTCTGCTTTGGGTCACCACCTTACCTCAGTGATACCATACTCACCTTCCTTCTCTTCACTGACAAATCATTATAGAGACCCCAGGCCTGTGTGCCTATGGGCTCATCAGTGACTTAAACGTTTATGTTATGTCATGTTTTTAATACCCTTTCCTCCCTGGGGTTTATGCTGAAAAAGGCCTTCATAAATCGTTTTCAGTGAGACTTTTTCAGCCACGCTGTGTTCAGAGGAATGCTGCTAAACAGGCAGAACACTTGTGGTGCTTTTGCAAAGGGAAGCAGTTCCCTCTTACTCTGCAGCACACCCGGAGTTAATACGTGCCTCTCTGGGGGATACTACCAGTGCTGGCACATCAAGAGCAGTGAATGTACTCAAATTTCCTGCTCTCCCTGTCTGGAGTGGAGCGGGGTAGAGTGAAGCAGACTAAGTCCTGAAGAAGGAAGACCACTACTTATCTGAGCTTTTTTAAAGCTTTTTATATGATATGCCAAGATATGCTAAGACCTGGCACATCTGTAACTACAGAAACTCTAGATTTTTCTCCAACAGCTATGTTACTAAAATTGGTTTCACTTTGGCAGGGAAGTAAGATGAAAGGAAATAGTCCTTGAAATGAACAGGAGAAAGGGGATTGTTGTTCTCTGATGAGAGGTAGCAGCTTTCAGGTTTGTGCCTTGTTTGATGTAGGAACTCCTGACACAGTCAGATGTTTTCTTAGCAATCACTTAACTGAAATGCTTAGCGAATGCATATGAGCTATTTCCTCTTGCATAAATAATTGGAAATCCTTTTACAGAGGAGGCCAATGTCTTCATGCTGCTCTCTCTCCTGGACTCCCACCAGCTTAACACCAGCCTTTAACTCATACTCAGCTTGTGAGCTTATGGTGGTACCATTCTACACATGAGGGTATTGTTTGGACCTAATCTCCTCTCATGATCTCTTCAGGTCCTACTCATCTGTGAACACTGTTTGAGCATCAGTGCTCTTGGCCAGCTATAGCCTTCCGTCCCTTTCAAGGAAAAGGCAGGATGCGCCCCTCCCTACCTTTCTTAACCAGGATCATCTTCTGTGAAGTGACAGCCATAGAAAATTGGCTGCAAAGTCTACTAAGTCAGGCTTTAACCACCTTAGAAGAAGCACCAGTGATTTTTTTAGCCTACAGTGACACTTAACATATGTGAAAGGAGTCCTTTATGAATCAAGAGAACAAACCAAGTTCTGATTTAGGAGAGTAAGCTCACTTTTACTAACATACAGCAAATGACATATTAACTTTAAAAAACCCCAACTAAACCAAACTTTACTTTTCAGGGGAATAGACCCAGCAGGGTGGCTGGTTGTTTCATTACAGCCTATCATGAGAGCTGAGGTTCAGATAAGCTTCTCTGTTAGGCAGCCTTGATTCCACACTTTCTCTTTTTACACTTGTGACAATTTATGCCTCAAAATCGTGTATTTTCCATTATGCCATATATTTTCCCATCAAATTTGCTTTCTGGCAAATGCAGAAAAGGTTTTACCGCATGCCTTGAAGATATGAGAGTTCCCAGTAACAAAAGGATGACCCTTCCAAAACTTTTTAAATTCTTTTTGATTCATCTTACCAACCTATAAATCTCAACTTCTTACATGTATCTTTTAAAGCTTGTGAGGAAACTTATATTCCACCTAGAGGTGGGAGGTGAAGATACACAAGGAAATAACAAGACTGAAATGCCATATAGTTCACTTTTTAAAACCTTGGCATTTTGGGATGCTCAAAGATTCTGGACTTTACATAGCAAAAAACCCCAAAACCCTAAGATATTAATTTCCATCTGCTTAAGAATACGTTGTTAAGAACTTATGTTTAATAAGGCCTTAGCTTGTTAGCTTCTTAGCTAAAAGAAAAACATAAGGCAGCTTAATTGGCAAAGGC